ACGAAATTACGAATGCTAATGGAGTCCGTAATGGGAGGTCAAAGAATTTTCATACCTCCGCGGCGATTACGCAGATGTAGAAGCGACGAGGAGGCGGAGAAAATGCATTTTCACGCAAGTCTTTTGTTTTGTTTCGTCACTCAGTGAAGACGGGGATGAACAAATTTTAAAGGTAGACCACTTTTCGCACTTTCTTCGAGCTTTCCATTTTTTATTGCTTTTCTTTTCCTTTTTCATATAGCGATTTTATCGCCAAGATAAATATGTTTTTATAAGAGATTTAACGACCGTTCTTTCATAGATTTAGACTTTAAATAGCTTATGTTCAGTGTTTCACTATTTTTCAAAATGTATTGTTATATAAAAAAATAAAGAAATACAATATGATAGATAATACAATTATAAATTATAAAGTCTCACAGATTATCATTAATAAGATGAAGAGAGAACATTTATATACTTTTTCTCTAAATCACTATAAAAGTCAAATTGAGATAACTCTAATTATAACATTATAATAATAAACAATAGTTATATGCATATACGGTTTATTTGAATTATAAAATTTTTCATATCCCTACATAACTAGAAAAGATTCACTTACTTACATTATGATATTCTGGGGAAATATTTTTTTCGTCCAAAAATGTATTTCATGAAAATTAAACTATCCACATTTATACTAGCATAGTGACATATAAATTATGATATTGATATAAATTATATATAAATAGTAATTATATTAAGTGAAAACATAAAGGAAAAATAAATAATTAATAATATAGTTGATTAGGAATTTTATCTTTATTATAATGTTAGATACTTGAATTACTAAACTAATGTGTAAGTAGTACTGCAAAATTTTTTTAGTATTATCTTAGCTCCATAACTTCCATAACATAATTTTTTAAAAGATATATCTTGTATTTGTAGGTAGCAACATCAATAACTATTTATTGAATACCTAATAATTAATTAAGTCCTCTTGAAGATAGACTTTATTTATTTAAAAATTTGACTATAGTATTAATAAACACTTTTATAATTAAAATTATAACATTGAAATATGGAAAATTATTTAACATTTATTGCTAGTATAATATGAATATCTAAATATTATTACAAAATGATATTCTCAGTTTGTGCAAAAATTAATATGACATAAATGTTATTACTCTAATGAATCAATAGATTCGAAAGAATATAGTTTTAAAGTAACATAAATTTTTTATCCTAATAAAATATTCTCTTGATAATCTATGAAAATACTATTATTAAGTAATTTTAATATTCGAATTTATTAAATAATAACGTTACCGATCGTTCTTCATGCACGTAAAAGATAAACGATTGGAATACGTGAGAAAAATTAATTGAATAGTTAAGCAAATTATATAACAAATATTTTATCATAATAAAATGCAAAAAATATTAAAAACAATTTTACATGTACGTCAACTTTTACATATGTAATAATGAATAAATTACAAACATATAATTCTTTATAATTATAAATGAATCATTTTTAATCAAATATAAAATCAAAATGTGTGACGAAAATTTATTAAAAAGACATCGAATAAAAAATTTTTACAGAAAATGGTCAATGGTCAAAAAGTATGAAAAATTATTTTTAAAAGGAATATATTTGAATGAAAATTAATTACAGAATTATTACAAGAAAGCTAAATGTAAAGATATTTCATAAACTTATAGCTTTATGCTTATGAAACGTTGTTTGTGTTCATAAAAAAAAAGAATTTCTATAAAAAAAAAAAAAAAGAAAAAAAAAAAAAAGAAATGAAAAATCTAATGCAAAAATATCTAGAATTTTTATCGTAATAATAATTATAATAAAACTTATAATTACATTCATTCACTCAATGATTAACATAAAGCTAGAATAATAATATCTAATTTGCAAAATAACAGTTTGACAGAGGATTGTGTAGGATAATAAAACAATAATATTGATTTGCTTAAAATATATATACGAGAATCCTCATATATATATATAAATGAGTTTATTTCTTAATTTATTCATCTATCTATGTTACAAATATACAAAATTCGTATTTACATTCAATACATCGCTTAAATCTTTTTTAAACTTTCTTTACCTTTTATACTCTGATATCGTTTTCTTTTTTTTCTTTTATAATTTTTGAGTAAAATAGTAAACTTTATTTCTTATCGATAGAAATAGATAAGATAGGGAAGAGAGCAAAATCTTTACGTATTTCGTTGCGACACAAGAATATTACACAGGCGGCATTAATGCTGAGATTTGCTCTAATGACTCACTGACGCGCAAATACTACGAAGCTATCATGACTCTTGAAGATTAGAAATGATGTAAAAGTGAAGAATGTACTCATTATTCACTAGCTGGGACTACTTCGATGATGCGAAAAATGACGGTCTTTGAGAAAAGAGACCTCAGAAGTTTTCTGTAACATAAAAGGAAAAACATTATTGGACGGCAATGGTCGAAGATTTTGTTCTTTCATTTTCTTTTCTGCTACATATAGATCGAATGATATAAATACATTATATATTTATTACTTTAATAGTCGAATAATAAATTTTATAGATAAAATTATGTTAATATAGTAATAAATTATTTTTATATGAAAATAATAAAGCACTATCATTAGCTTTAACATATTACATATTTTACATATCAAAAAATATATTAACCAAGTCGTTTATTATTCATAAATTATATGAGAGAGAGAGAGAGAGAGAGAGAGAGTGTGTGTGTGTGTGTTCGTGTGTGCGTGTGTGTGTGTGTGCGTGCACGTGCTTTGATTTTTATTTAACAAATTTTAATTAATATTATCTCTGTTCGAAGATATTATCTTTAATAAACAATATTATCCGTAAAGAAAACTGAAGTTTTTATTTGTGGAATATATAAAAGATTATGTTTAATATAATCTTATAACTAAATGCGCATACACGCGTAAGCTCATGCATATATAAATTTAATAAACATCAAGGTGTAGCATTGAACGGGGCGCTGTTTTAATATTTAAACATTAAATTTGTTGAAACGGCTTATTAATTATAAAAATATTATCTTGAATAGAAAGTTTTCCCCGTTCCACATAATCAAGGCCAAAATTGAAATAAAAATTTTATTTTCTTAAGGCTTGTAAAAGACATTTTATCACCTAAATAATTAACTAAAATCATTCTCAAACTTTTTCCCTTCTCTGAGCATATAAAGTTTTCCCAAAAATTACGTTGTATAATATAATCGTTTAATATAATTCTGTATTAATTAATTCCTTTTGAAATCGAGTTATGGAAAGTTTCAATTTTTAAATTACGTCTTCCTATTATACTAATTTGACATTTAAAAATGTATAGGCAAAATATAGACATAAATTACTTTGCAAAGTATTGGAATTCTCGGTATTCAAAATAGACTTCTATAGTAACTAATATAAAAAGAGGAATGGAATATTTTTATCTCGAAAATACGTGTTTAAAGATTATATTAGTTAATATAAAAGATTAATGATTGCACTACTCTATATTAGATATAATATGGCTTTATAGCTCATATTCATAATGTGAGTGTCAAATATTATTTACATAAAACGAATTTTATTTTATTAGTTTGATATATTGATTTATGTTCATTGTAATTAATACATTAAAATTTCAAAATTATTTTAAACAATCAATCCAATTTTTCAACGACAAATATATATATATACATATATATATAATTAATAATCGATTTATTAACTTGGAAATATTATGTCTATACAAAATGCTATGTATAATTCACTTTTATCTCTTTTTTTTTTTATAGTTTAATGAATAATGAAGAACTCTTTGATTCAATTGATTGAAAAGACCATACAATTTATAGTGATAGATAAAGTTAACTGAAAATGTTAATGACTTCGTTCCACTCTAATAGTACGGATCCCTACAACATTGGGATAATATTTTCAAATTACCTTTATATCTCAATTTTTATAATGAACTAAGTTTAAAATATATACACTATATTTTAATTATATGTTGTAATTAAATTATTATATGTATAATTGTACATTAAATATAATACGTAAAAAAATACTTTATATATTATAAAAATGTATCTGATTATCCCAACAAACACTTATTTTCATATTATAATCCGAGTAGAATATATAATAAATTATTAAGTTTTAAAATATCTAAATTTATGCTCAAATTAACAATATAATTCACAAATTGTAAGATAAATAATATATTGAGTATTTCTCAAATTTAAAGTACCATAATTAATCTTATAATGTTGGTAGAAATAAAAAATTATTAATTAAGGAGTTACTCGTTGAAATTGATAAGTATTAATAATTCCAGTGGATTAATTTACGAAATATAAAATTCATATTTGTTATTATAACGTATATTTTAGAAATCTAAGGATAAAAAAGTATAAATCAACATTCCAGTATGAATAATTATTTGAAAAACTTTTGAAACAACTGATTTATTGACAACTATTTTGGGGTTGTCATTTTATCATAAAATGTTTGTATAAACTTTAGTTAAATTCTAAATTACACTGTATTAGCTAGAAATTTATTTAGCAGAGTTGTAGTTAAGCATCTCAGTTATTAAAAGATTTATGCTTATGCATCTACTTATCATCTTTACTTTAAGAATAACAAATAATCATGAAATTATATATGTATATAAATTGCAATGAATTTATAAGAAATTTCTGTAGCTACTCATGCAGCTGATAATGAATAAAAGAAGAATCGGAGAGAATAAACTAATTTTTTTTTCCCCATTTCAAGAAAACGTTTGGATTGTTGACAATGAACCGTGGATTAAGAGTATCGAGAAAAAAAAGTATGAAAAAGGTGAAAGTCATGCGAGGATGAGGACGAGCAGAATAAAACAAAAAATGAATCGAAGCTTGAACAAAATCATTCATCAAATACTGCCAAATACAGACAGATAAAAATTTCTACATCGACTCACCATTTTTTTTTTTACGTATGTATATATCACGAAATGCTTGGCGAGTCGAACGCTGATCCATTGGCCAATTCGTCGTCAATTCTGTACGACGCTTTTCGGACCGCATGACTACAACAGAAACAATGAAGTCACATTTTTATTGAACAATAAATAGACAAAAATATAAAATGGATTAGACAATTCAGATGGAATTTTCAAACGTTCTCCCGTAAATTTGGATATTTCATTCTTTATGTCACATTTACGTATTTGCGCATGCTTTTTAAAAAATTTCCATTCACTCACAAATATTTGGACAAAGAACATTTAGCATAATTTATGTTGATGAATCGGGAAGATAAAAGATATATTACTATAACTATTAAATACTCGTGATATGTTAAGAAAAGAATTTTAAATCCACAGTGGATTAAATTTTCTAAATCTTCAACAAACATGCTAATTTACTATTACAAACTTTTACAAATATAATAATATGAGTGCAAATATAAAATGCAAATATAAAATTGCATGAAATATTTATTTTCGAGCTTATTCTGAATTGATGAAAGTTTTAAATTTAAAGTCCTGTTTGCTCCTATTTACAACGGTCGAATTAATTACATTAAAAACATTTACATAAGTGCTCCCACTTAACAGCCAATGACATTTGTTTACCTCGTGTGATCACAGTATCATATGGTGATTTGAAGGTATATTATTAGTCCTGCAATTGTTTTCATGGGCATCCAAGATAAATCTTATTTATAATATATTATGAATTATTCTAATTAATAATTTCGATACTTATTTTCATTTTCTTTTTTTTTTTTTTCTATTCACGAAATTCTTATTCCTTTCCTATAATAAAGTATTATCAATCATTTTTATCAATATGAGCAATGAACAAATTGCATTGAAGAGATATTGTTTACTTTTCGTAACATTAAATGCAATTTTCATCCCCTTTAACGAACATTTTATACATTGAACATCAGAATTAGTTTTATTTATTTTAAAGACCGATCACTACTTTTAAAAACTTGAAAATTGAATATTCTTTACTTCTGAAATACTGAATAATATTTTTAAATTATTAAGAAATGTTTTTGGAAAATTGTTCGTACGTGAGCCACGTATATGTCAACATGTTAGTTTCCTTACTTCGTGTAATATTGAGTTTATAAGAAATTAATCAATTTTGTTATTCTAAAAAAAGTATATGTTTGTACGTTAGAAAATTTCGAACTTAAAAATATGAAAAATATAAATAAATAAAATACATAAGAAATATTTACACGAATTTCTATATAATTTCTATTTTTATATTTTATTTATATTCTAAAAATAAATATATCAATTTTTCAATAAATTTTAAAATTCTATTATTTATTGTAAAATATGTTTTTCATAAAAATTATTAATTTATTTTTTAACATAATAAGTTCTTTCAATTTATCTATTACGTTTCAATACAGATCATGGAGAAATATATCGAGCTATTAATTAAGTCTGTTAAAACAAAAACAAAAAACAAAAAAAAAAACAAAAACAAAAAAAAAACCGAAAAAAAAGAAAATACATAGATTTGATAATATGTAACGGATTCCATAATATGAATTAACTTTAGTTTAATCTAAATAATAACAAATGAATTATAATACAAACGGATAATTCGCTACTAGTGAAGAAAAAATGATCACTTAATAGCAGATGTAATAAACAGAATAAAAATAATCCAGTAAAAACATGTCATTACTAATATTCATTAAATGCAAAACAAATCAACATGTGGAAAATAGTAAAATGTAAACTATATTCGTGAATCGCGTAGTTTATTATTCACTGGGTAGGACATTTTCAGTCAAGTCGCGTGATTACATCTCCGAATAAAAGAAGCTTTGAAAACGAAAATAAATTTTTACTTCTACTTAAAATGCGTTCATGCTCTTTTCAAATGGTTAAACAATGAAAGAAAGGTATTTTTCTGGAAATACCCAATTACCCAGATGCTGGCATTAGCTGTGTTTACCCTTTGTTCGTGGCGGGATAAGAAGAGGCAGAAGGCCAAGAAGAAAGAAAGCAGCGAAGCGAGGCCCTCGAAAGGTAGTTCGACGGTCTCAAGAGAAAACGAAGAACGGCTGGAGAGGGGCGAGACGTGGGAACAGGGAGGGGAGTAAGGAGAAAAGCACCGCTAGCGAAGGGAAGAAAGGAGCCCGAAAAAAGGCGCGTCAGGATTTTATTTTTGCCTCTGCCATATTATTTCAGGGACTATTACGAGGATATATTCCTGGCGCGTGTGCGTACACTCACGTAGACGACGTCGCTGTTCGTCTAGACGAAGAATGGAATTTTATGTGACTTATTACGCGATTCATGTGTATTTATATATTGTACTTCGTACGTCACTCGTTCGCTTACTGCTACCGCAACATCCCTCTGCGCTCTTGCCCCCCTCCCCCTCCGTCACTACCCTCTTAATGTCTAGCACCGCTTGTGCTCTCAACTGGTAGATTATATTCCTACACAAGGGTTTTCTCTTGCGAGGGGAAGGGATTTTTGGTTCGACCCAAACTTGACATCCCGGATGTTTTACGTACCTACGTTTTAATGCAACATAAGAATTATTCTTCTTTTATTCTTTTTGCTCTCCCTTTATACATAGCCATCAACTATCCCCTATTTTGCGTCTTACGTTACGAATAATCACACTTATACTGTTTGGTTCCTCGAGTGTATAGAATAACGAAATGCTATTGTACCTTTGTGAAGGTAGAGGTGGTTTATTCACTCATGTTATGATAGTCCACAGAAAATTATCGGTCATAATCACTTTAGTGTCAACCCATGTGCCATCAATAATAAAATGTACGTAGTAAATTGGTATAACTAAAAGTCAACTCGTTGCTTTTATATTTCTTAATACAATCTATATTTCCGAACTGGATCTTATAAAAGAAAATTTTTTTTCTTAATACCGATACAAATAATAGAAATTTTTAATTCTAAATACCTACGATCCAATCGAAAAAGATCTTTTTTCTTAAACAAACTATATTCAAGAATAAATACATAATACAATCGAATAGAGTGAAAGTACATAAAATCATACGGAAAAATATTATATTTTTAACAAGATAATACGAGTTAATATTTTTCCTATGCAGTATTTAAATAGTACTTTCTTAAAATCTCTATAACTTTGCAGAAATAATTTAGCCTGATTTGCAACTGGTAATCGCAAAATTATTGTCAGTTACTCTAGAATATACATAGGACAAATTTTGTAAATCAACATCCGAGAGCCGAAAATCCTCTGTCCGAGGACTTTCCTGTTATTAACAGTAAATAAGGTTATATGAACTTTTAAAGCTTCAATATAGGAGGTCTGAAGTTATTAAATTTATATAGTTATTCTTCTCTTTTTTACCGAAACACAAAATATTTGTTATTTGATATTTTTATATAATGATCGACTGATATTTTACTAAATTAATTAATGCAATGACAATAATTAATGCTCATATTTAAAAAAAAAATAAATAAATAAAATAAAAACCATAAAATTTAATTGCATCGTTCTTCTACTTTTAAAGAATAAATCAAATAGAAATTTTGAAAATTACATGAGAGAGAATAGAAAACTAAAAATCCAATAAATTAAAAAATCTTTCTTTTTCATTGATCTTATGTCATAATTAATATTGCGATAAATAAGTCTTCATTTCCATGCCCATGATTTTCCGATACAATTGCTCTAATATCGATAATTTTTATATTTAAAAATTATGATCAAAATCATTTATAATATTTTTGTAAAAATTATGTATATAATGTCAGAAGCCTATTTTTATCATTAGAATTAAAAGCCTTAACTGTATATATACGGATATTAAGTAATCATTGTTATCGGTAAAATATGAATTATTTGCATGGGTTGTTAACTTTGTTAAGTGTAATACTTATTTATTTAAAATATTTCTGTATTTCTACATGTAACAAGTCTTTACTGTGGACCCATAAAAGTGAAAGATATATTTGAAATAAACTATTACATAGAATACAAGTAAAGTTGATCCGCTTTGAAATATAAATGCAAATGTGAATACTACAAATAAATATAAATTTACATTTTAAATTTTGCAAATATGATTATGAAATTAAAAATCTACATTGATATGCGAATATTAAATTTATCATTCTACTAATTTATTCACCTTTCATGCAACAATGTATATTATTAGTGATTTTATTCATAAGATGTTTAATTACATAATTAATAATATGAATTTATTTAGAAAATTTATGCATATAAACTAAAAATGGAGAGTTATTATTAGCATTTAATATTAGTATAATGAAATTTTGCAATGAAAAATCCAATCTCATTTTTTTATGGTCATTATATATATATATATATATATATATAATTTTCTCATTTTTCAATTAATCACCAATTTCAATGTTATTATAAACATAATATTATTAAAACAACTCTAGACAATCTAATTCATCGCACGTAAGATACATTAGAATTCAAAGATTTTGTTTGCATATCATTTAACAAAGCTACATAAGTTTGAATTAAACTATGAAATATTGTTCCACAACTTCTCACCAAAATTGAAGATGAAAAAAAGTAATGTACAAAGAGAGAATAAAGAGCATCGTCGAAGACACGTACATAAATTTACACGGCCATTTCTCTGTTAAATAAACTCTATATACGACTTTCATACTTGGTACTCGTTTATATAGTGTGATTTAGTACAATGGCCACTTCTCAGGTGTATAACCCAAGTTCTCGCGCGCGAATATACGTGTAGCAGCGTATGGTAGTTCGTCCCATATACTTCCTTAGCTCTCCTCCCTTCAACTCCCCTAATAAACGAATATAAATCAAGATCTCGGTAGAAAATCCTTTGTGACGACTTTCCCATTATTAACAGTAAATAAGTCGCGAAAGAAGCAGCAAGATGAACGAACTTTTAAAGCCGCAGTTACAACGCGCACAGTGTTATTTCACTCTCGTTTCTACCCTCTCTAAATTCCCCCGGGCGCGAACTTAATATCGCGGTATGTTACACGCGGACAAGATTTTTTTGTAATTCTCGCTTTCCACTTTCTCC